GCTGCTGACTCCACCCTCTTATTCTTTTTGTGTACTAAGAAGTTCTTCACAGCCAGTATGCCGGCCTTCCTCACAGTGCCCTGCACCGTGCTAAGCAGAATGTCTGAGGGGTAAACGGAGCTTAGCGTTCCACTGCTCCTTTCATCGCTTGCAGCCGAACTGGCTTCCTCGAGAAATTCCCGCGTCTGCCTGGAGTTCAAGTCCAGCTCGTGACGGAAGTTCTCGTACACACCTTGATCTCCACCAGCTTGACGTTCACGGTCTCCTCCACCTCCGCTGCTGCTGCCACTGTCACTTCCCGCGAAGATGCTTCCGCTAGCCGTGGAGTAGACGGAGAAGGACGCAGACATGGCCTTGCAACGGCGCGAGGAGTGCTCGACCTCAGCTGCACCACCGTCAATACCACTGTCTCCATACTCGCTGCCATCACAAGCTGTGATATCCTACACACACAGACCAGGTTAATGCAGATTAAAGATGACACTCCCTCTGCAGTGACAGCACTTCCTGTGGGACATACTACAAACTAAAATTCCTTCTCAGAAATAGTTTGACAACTCAAAACTAACTTCAATTGAGCTTCTAAACGCCTCTTAGTTATTTCCTCTTTTGATAAACACAAAGGAAGAGACTATGTTCTTGTTCTCAACTTGTTTGCTAGTGCATGAAAGAGGAACAGAAAGAGGAAGTCATTCTAAGGAGAAGGGGCAGCTTCCCTTTGCCAACACAGAAACACTGCAGTTCCTCGCAGGTAGATTATGGGAAATATCATGTTTCAAAAACACTGTTGTCCAAAGTAGCTGCCAAAGGCTTGAACATGAAAGTTGTGTTTGAAGTGTCCCCTGAGACCTTTCAAAATTGGAAGCTCTTTGACAAGCAAAGACAGTTCAGATCACATAAAATATGCACAAACATGAAAGTCAAAATCAGAATTTGATTTTAAAGATCCTAGAGTGTTTTATCTTTCACATTTTACTAACCAACTAAAAGTTAAACTTAAAACTTCCAAAGAGAATCCAAAAAGCTCTTTATCTAGTTCTTGGTTGTTGCACTTTAACAACTAGGTCCTAAATAGATGGACGACACTATCTGGCAGGTTTGGAAGTTTGCAAAGTACACATGACTCATAACAGTCTTTATTTTGAGAGGATGTGAAAGACCATTTGCCAGAGGCATAACTTACATGTGTTGTTTGCGCACGCCGTCCCTGCATACGTGAGCAGATGGTAGCCTTATGATTGGACAGTCCTTCAGACAGGCAGTGAGAACGACGACAAGGAAGAGTGTACGCTCCATATCCACTCCCTTCCTCCTCCGCAGGAGACAAGATCTCGTCGTTCATTCCGGCTCCTTCCGTCCTCTCGGGATTGTGACCATTATAGAGATGGTGGGAGCCACGAAGAGTGGAAAGTTCATCTAAAGAGTTAGCTCTATCTCCTGAGTGAGACTCGAGAGTCCGTGGGCTTGAGGTGCGACGCCGTCCTCCACAGTTGGCAAAGCTTTTGTCCTCATCCTCATTTGTCCCTATAATCTCCTCTGTGCTTGTCAGATGCTCTTGGCTTAGATCCGACAGGGAGAACTCCATGGAATCCTCTCTCCACATGTCTGCCGATTTGGAGCGCTTCTTCTTGAAGCTGCCACCTTCCAGAGGACCGTCTCTGGTCCTCTGCAGGTATGTGTCCTCACCTGTGAAAAGTCCATCATCATCACAACCATCTGCCACCACTGTGTCCATCTCAACTCCATCTTCGGAGCCAGGCGTGATGGTGGGATCCGCCAAGTTGTCGTGGAAGGACATCGGCCGCAAGTTCATGGCCATCCGGTCCACCCAAATGGTGCCCCCATAGCCCTCCAAAGCATCTGTCTCATTGAAGGGTTCCAGGCCATTTTCACTTAAGGACTGTGGAATGGAAGGTGTGCTGCTAGATTTTGTGCTGGTCTCGGAGTTGCGGTGTTCAGCCTTGCTGGTTGAGGCATGACGCGATCGTCGAGACTGCTTGTTGGAGATGCGAAGTGATCGGGTCATGTGCTTTCGTGAGAGGTGGCCCTGCCCCTCACTGTAGTAGGCGTGGCCTCCATTTTGGCTCTCCACATTTCCCATGGTTTAACGTCTGTGAAAGACATGGGTTAGATATAGGACATGTCCCTACCTATGGATGAAGTTAAGACCCACCAAACACTAAGTCTGTATATGCTTGTGTCACATTTCAAAGATAGGGCTAAAACCTGACTGACCAGCAAACATGACATTCTTCTTAAGATGCTATCTAAAAGAGTCACTGCAGCTCTAAAGCAGCATACTTGCTAGATCCAACTCCTACTGTATGTAAGGCGGTACGTTTTAAGAATTATTACAGTGCAGAAAGAGAAAGCAACAGAATGAAAGAGAATGTACCTACAGAGCAGAAATTCAGTCTCTAAATACCATCTCTAAAAGTGAGAGCTGAATTGCATGTGATCAGAGTCTAACACTAGAAATATCTCTGACGCACACAAAGACACAAGAGAGTGAGCGAAGGGGTGGGATGTGAAACCTCTCAACCCCCTGTGTTGAGAACATCATTGGATTTTTAAAATGACCTCCATTAAAGAGTTCACACTATGTGTTACTCAGTCATAACCTCTTGAAATTGTTGGAACGGTTCAATTAGGGTAAAATTCAGATAAATTAGTTTATCTAAGAAAGGAAAAGGGATTGGTTATAAGAATCCATTTTGTACTGTTGAAGGATTTTTTTAATCGAATCACTTTGGTAAGTAAAAAATAATTGTAGGAGAATAATCATGAGATATATTTATTCTGTTCAAAAACATATAGAAGCAGCATTTTAAGGCATCATAGACACACACCCAACATGAAGGCTATCCCAGAATGTAAGTTAATGATGCCTCATAATGCTCATGCTTGTGATACCTAGTTTGCACAAGCAATTACAGCCAGTCCCATAATGTTCCCATTCCAATTCCCATTGTGATAAGCTTTGGAGAAAACTAAATTCAAGACGCTGATGTGCTAGGCAGAAGAAATGTTAATTATAAACCAAAATGTTTAATTATTTTATTCAATTTATACTTCGGAAAGTAAATAAAATGGAACATTTTACCCAATATTTGTATGTTTTTAATGCAATTTAAATGCTAATAGCAAACTTTGTTGAACTTAAATCCCCTTAATTCCCACATGTCAGGGACCTAATCAAGGTTGTCTCCATGGCAACTTGCTGTGTATCACTATGACAATCCTGCGGACTGAGGCACCTAGATTATGATGCCAGGCATAGCGTCTCGCCAGGCCTACACATACATGAACTCTTACATATATATATATATAGATATGCATTTACCCGTCACATACCCCATGCCTCGCCTTTGCCGCTTTGTACCCCCAGTCTGACAGGCGGGTCTGTGACCAGTGCCTGAAATGGCTGCAGGACCGGATGGCTGCTTGCCTGTGCTGGGCTACCTCCATCTCCCACCCATCACCCCTCACCCCTGTTGCAAGTCTTGTTCATGGAAAGTGTACTGATTGTGTGCTAATGTTGCTGAGGTGTTTTTTTCCTGTTCCCAGACTGTACTCCTAGAGGAGCATAGTCTGGGGGTTGCCTTTTTTCTCCTCACCCCTCCTCAAATCATGCTGTATTTTTCCTCTTAAAATTGCTCACTTGTGAGACGAATAAAGGCATTATCTAATCTAATCTAATCTTAATTGCTGCAATTGGCAGCAAGGCAGTTTATAGGTTTTGAGCTGCCTAAAAACACAATTCTATTGTGTTAACACATGACATCATATATTTATATGTATATATGTATATATATAGATCAGCAACAGTACCTGAGGCAGAAACAGTGTATCAGATGCATTTCCAGATGGCAATGCTCTTATTTATTGACCTCATGGTCCTGATCCGCTGTACAGCAGTTTTCCCTGAAAAAGACATATAACACACATTTTAAACAAAGGAACAGAGGAGGATTAAGTTCAGACACAAGGATAGTTTGGATTGCTGTTCATAAATAAGGCGTTCAGGAGTTTTGGGGTTTGGGTGGATTTCAAGACACATACAGTATGAGACCATGACAGCACACACAAAACTTAGCCTATACAACAATATTCACACACTTCCCTTCTGCACAAGAAGAAGAATTTTCTGATTCGTCTCAGTTCCTTAAGAAGCCAACAATACCGTTTATGTCAGAAGATCAAGGCTACCCAGCAGTAGTCGTAAAGCTGAACCCAGTTATATGTTTTTCAATGCCAATCTGACCTAATTTCTACTAATCCAGAGAGAAGAGCAGAGAGAAAGCCTCATCTCCATACTGCAGCAGGTATAAGTATTTGAAGATTCAGACTACACACTGCACTTTATGAATTAGCTTCAGAATGACACGGTCACTGCTCCAGTAACTAGGGGATAGAAATAGAGGAAGAGGATAAAGAAAAGATAAAGAGTAAAATTTGCGAATTGGATCCATTTAAACTTTTGAGGTACTCAAGCCATATCCAGAAACCAGAATAGCATTGAGACTTGGGGTGGGCTCTTCTGCCTTCTGACAACCCCCTTTCGATCACCATAGCAGCCAACCAAAACACCCTCGTATTGCGCTGGCGAGTTTACATTGGTAAGGACCACACAAATCTAGTTTTTACTGTGAAAATGTATAGTGTCTTCTCGTGTGCCTGTGTTGTTTCTTGCTGCCAGATGGTTTGTGATACAAACAGAAGTGTGTGTTTGAGTGAATGTGTTTGTTGAGGTCAGTGTGTATTTCTCTGGATCATGTCCAGCTTTGACAGTAAGGGTCAACAAGACTTTAAGGCCAATAAAGTGAGAGATAGAGATCCTCAGGATGACAATCTGGTGCATGAGTTTGTTCGTGTACATCAGAGAAGTGATAAAACTCTGCATTGCGGTAAGTCTACTCAACCTTGCTGTGGACTTACATAAACTAGAGTTGACCCCATTTTTCACTGCATTTCACTTTTTTGCAGCTCTGCCTCTATATCTCTGCTCCTCCTTCCAGTCTATGTCCCCTCCTTCAAACTACTACCATTAGATTCATCCCACACAATATATTTGGGCTTTTATATCAGTAATTCAAATGTGAAGTTTACTGGGGGGTGGAAAATAGGACAAAACTCAGATGTGAAAAAAAGCATCTCCAGTAGCCTAGTATTCCGATTTCTGATTATCCATTATAGATATTTTGCAAAAGATATTTTGAGTTCCCATTTCATTTCTACACTGTAAAAAAATATTTTCAAGATTTGTTATCACAACATATTTTCTTTTGTCAAATCAACTTTATAATAATTTATTTAGTTGAGATAACTTATTATTTTGAGTTTCTGATGATTAAATTAATCTCCTTCATTGTATTAACTCACTTTTTCCAGTTCAATCAACTTAAAATTTTAAGGCAACCAGGTTACTTACTTTTTTAAGTTAAAACAACAATATTTTTTTACAGTAATCACAACATTTTTTCTTTTGTCAAATCAACTTAAATAATTTATTTAGTTCAGATAACATATAATTTTGAGTTTCTGATGATTAAATCATTCTCCTTCATTGTATTAACTCACTTTTTCCAGTTCAATGCACTTAAAATTTTAAGGCAACCAGGTTACTTACTTTTTTAAGTTAAACCATCAATATTTTTTTACAGTGTAGTAATCACAACATATTTTCTTTTGTCAAATCAACTTTATAATAATTTATTTAGTTGAGATAACTTATTATTTTGAGTTTCTGATGATTAAATTAATCTCCTTCATTGTATTAACTCACTTTTTCCAGTTCAATCAACTTAAAATTGTAAGGCAACCCAGGTTACTTACTTTTTTAAGTTAAACCAACAATATTTTTTACAGTGTAGTAATCACAACATTTTTTCTTTTGTCAAATCAACTTAAATCATTTATTTAGTTCAGATAACATATAATTTTGAGTTTCTGATGATTAAATCATTCTCCTTCATTGTATTAACTCACTTTTTCCAGTTCAATGCACTTAAAATTTTAAGGCAACCAGGTTACTTACTTTTTTAAGTTAAACCATCAATATTTTTTTACAGTGTATTGGAAATTCGTAATTACTAGGTCAGGTGCGTTCAAGTCCCTTTGGTCAGAGCAAGTATATACTACTATTATTAAATGTTGAATAACGAATGTGCATCAGGCGTGTTTTTCATTTTTATTATGAAGGTGCAGTAAATAGAATTGTTATACAGTATATTCTTGTAAATGTAAAAAACTAACAACATACTTTTCAACATATTTACCATCAATTATAGATGCATCCTGTGACGCTGTGCGGAGAAACAGAGCTGAGGCTGGGTCCAAACGCAGTGTAGCTTTATTAAAGAAACTTAAAACAAGACACTAGAAGCAAGAAACTTGAGAGCACCAACGCAACACACATAAATTCAACAACCAACAAAGACAGGGCAGAAACACAGGGCTTAAATAATCAATGACAAACGAGCTAGACAAGATAACAAGGGGGCGTGAGAAATGAGAAACACCTGGGATAAATAATGGACGGGCAATAACTAATAACGAAAACACACAAAATCACTACGTGACATAGCCTCCCCCCTATGGGCGGCTCCCGACGCCCATACAAAAAACAAACAGTTCAGGAGGGCGGTGAAGCGGAGACAGTCTTGGGGGAGGGACGGAGGGCCAGGCCCGTGCAGGGGAACAGGACCAGGAGGTAGCCAAGGCGGGCCTGGGCCGCAGAGCATGGGCCTACCAGACTGGGCCGGAGACCAAGGCGGAGCAGGACGTGGCAGAGGCCAGGGCGGAGCAGGACGTGGCAGAGGCCAGGGCGGAGCAGGACGTGGCAGAGGCCAGGGCGGAGCAGGACGTGGCAGAGGCCAGGGCGGAGCAGGACGTGGCAGAGGCCAGGGCGGAGCAGACACAGGCAAGGTCCATGACAGCCTCGCCTCCATGGCCCCCACAGAGTACCTACTGCCCCCCCCCAAAAAATACTTGGGGAAATTCACGGGAGGAGCCTCTGGGTGGTAAACGGGTTCAGGAAAGGTCTCCCGGAGCTTGAAGGGCGCAGTCAAGGTGATGCGCAGAGGCGGGGCCGGCAGGGCGAGGCGCAGAGGCGGGGCCGGCAGGGCGAGGCGCAGAGGCGGGGCCGGCAGGGCGAGGCGCAGAGGCGGGCCGGCAGGGCGAGGCGCAGAGGCGGGGCCGGCAGAGCGAGGAGTCTGGGCACGCTCACCGGGGCCTGGCGAACCAAACGAGTCCTCCTTCTCCTCCTCCTGCGGCGGCGCGTCACAGGGCTAGACACACTCGCTGGACTGGACAACTCACTCACTTGAAGAGGAGATGCAGCGCTCACTTGAAGAGGAGATGCAGCGCTCACTTGAAGAGGAGATTCAGCGCTCACTTGAAGAGGAGATTCAGCGCTCACTTGAAGAGGAGATTCAGCGCTCACTTGAAGAGGAGATTCAGCGCTCACTTGAAGAGGAGATTCAGCGCTCACTTGAAGAGGAGATTCAGCGCTCACTTGAAGAGGAGATTCAGCGCTCACTTGAAGAGGAGATTCAGCGCTCACTTGAAGAGGAGATGCAGCGCTCACTTGAAGAGGAGATGCAGCGCTCACTTGAAGAGGAGATTCAGCGCTCACTTGAAGAGGAGATTCAGTGCTCACTTGACTCGATTTGGACCTGGACACACTTGACTCACTTGATTTGGACCAGGACACACTTGACTCACTTGATTTGGACCAGGACACACTTGACTCACTTGATTTGGACCTGGACACACTTGACTCACTTGATTTGGACCTGGACACACTTGACTCACTTGACTCGGCCGTTGACTCACTTGACTCGGCCGTTGACTCACTTGACTCGGCCGTTGACTCACTTGACTCGGCCGTTGACTCACTTGACTCGGCCGTTGACTCACTTGACTCGGCCGTTGACTCACTTGACTCGGCCGTTGACTCACTTGACTCGGCCGTTGACTCACTTGACTCGGCCGTTGACTCACTTGACTCGGCCGTTGACTCACTTGACTCGGCCGTTGACTCACTTGACTCGGCCGTTGACTCACTTGACTCGGCCGTTGACTCACTTGACTCGGCCGTTGACTCACTTGACTCGGCTGGCACGCGCTCAGTGGAAAACTCTTGAGGCAGGAATGCAACGGAGCTCACGTGAATCGCGAGTTCGGCTGGGCTGACGTGAAGCGCGGGCTCGGCTGGGCTGACGTGAATCGCGGGCTCGTCAATGCGCACGTGAAGCGCGGGCTCATCGTGACTGACGTGAACCAGCGGTGAAGACGACGAGGGCTTCGCGGGTAAAGTACACTCGGCAGGTGTCGAGTAGAATAAGCGCGCAGTAGTGAAGAGGTCCTGCAAGTAACGAGCCCGAGCGACATACCCGTCAAGAGTCCAGTTGGCAAGGTCCCGCGGCATCCATCGAGCGATCTCATAATCCAGCCCATTCAGAAACAGGCCCATGAGCTGGATATCATCTAGCGCTCCCAGACTGCTAATGGACAGGAACTCCTTCGCGTACCTTTGGACAGACTGGCCCTCTTGCAAGACCGACGACAGGTATTCTGTCATAGCCCGGTTGCTGACGACTGCTGGACCCATATTGAGGTTGGTTGTTCTGTGACGCTGTGCGGAGAAACAGAGCTGAGGCTGGGTCCAAACGCAGTGTAGCTTTATTAAAGAAACTTAAAACAAGACACTAGAAGCAAGAAACTTGAGAGCACCAACGCAACACACATAAATTCAACAACCAACAAAGACAGGGCAGAAACACAGGGCTTAAATAATCAATGACAAACGAGCTAGACAAGATAACAAGGGGGCGTGAGAAATGAGAAACACCTGGGATAAATAATGGACGGGCAATAACTAATAACGAAAACACACAAAATCACTACGTGACACATCCATT